AAGGGTTGTCGAGGGTGAGGGGCCGCCTTTGGGCAAGGCCCAGTGGCCTCTATTGGCTGCGAACATTTGGGTCTGAGGTTTGCGGTAGCCCGTCACGTTTTCCGACAACCCCTGGATCGGCGTGCGACGGCCGATCCGCACTACATACATGGACACACTGTCTTCGTCATGGCGGCACTGCCTTCCGATCTACATTGGGAATTTGTTCGTTGGATACACGTGTTATTCCACTACACGTTGCGGGTTGACTACCAGCGCGTCAAACACGTCCTTTGTTGTGATCACACAACGAGAGTATGCATGGCATTCCTGCTAAATATTCCCCTGGCGTACTCCGCAGGTCGTTCGATTTCATTCTAACCAGACACTTTTAATGCAGAGGCATCGACTTTGGATACGAAGCATGAACAGCCTGACGGGCTAAAGGACGAAGCTGTTGCCGCATCATTCATCAAGGTACGTGAAGTTTTCAACCATGCATGACGAATGGATGTGAGGTCGTACCACACCTTTGTAAACTGGTGACTCGAAGCTTCAACCCATCTCATTCTGTTTTGCAATGTTTCGTTACTGTAGGCGGAGAATAGAAAGATGCTTCATTCGATAGCAACGGAAGTCCAAGTAGAAGTCCGTGTCGGAACGACTTGATTTCCTTGGCCCAAGCAAACGCAAACCCGTGCTTCAAATGAGTAGGCTTCTGTTCAATTCATCGTACTTTTCGATGTATTTTTTCTCTGTTCTTTTTGCATATTTGCTATGGCAGTGACGAATCTCTTCGCTCCAATTTTGGCTTCATGGATACACCTCAGGGATGTGCTGTTTAAGCACCAACCGTATCCTTTTCAATTGGATCGATCAATGCCCTGAAACTTTCATCAAGGTCGAAGACTGTGTTTCTTGCTCAGACATGAATTGATTTTTTTGGACGACGAAAATGCGCTGGAACTTGGAATTTGGCGAAAACCTTGTCATTCCGTATTTGGCAAAGTTCTGGAAGCGACGATCCCGTCGCTACAAAACGCAAGTCGCCAAGAAGAGCTCCACGTTTGCCGAGGACGACGTGTCCATAAAAGTTCGCATGGAGCGCAGCTACTTTACCACGGTACGTTTACAACTCGCAAGTTTTCTTGTTGTAACTTATCGATTCCAAACACAGTGCTCATTCCGTAGATTCCATTTTCGATAGCCGATAGCGTTGAAGTTCCTCACGACGCGCGGGCTGAAGGTACTTGGATTTGTGGACAAGTCGCAATGGAAACGTACGTAGTAACCGAGAATGGCCTAGCCTTGGATTTAAAGTCTACGAGGATTGCGTGCTAGGGACCAAATTAAGATGGTAAGTAGTCTGAGTGTTGTAGATGGTCTGGGGCATGACGGGACGGATGCTGTTTTCGGCGACTTTACCAAGCCGAAAGCGCAGGAAGCACTGCATGCGTTGAGCGCCGCCATGCACAAGGAAGGCAAGTTTGCCTTCGCTCGGTTTGTACGAGCTGCCGTGCAGCTCCAAAAAAAGTCGCTCTGCTTTCTAGTACGATACATCCACATGAAATGCGACCAATGATTGTGCACAGAGATGTTTGACATGCAGTTGCCTGGACTGCACTGCTTATGGATGCAGCAATTGCCGCTCGAAGAATATCTTCGCCCGTATGAGTTTCCATCCCTTGTAATAAATCCAACACTTCAGCCCATAGCAGGAATTGTCTCATCTGGATTTTCCAATATGGCGGTTTGATTCGCACAAAATTTCGGAATGAGTTCTTGAAGTGCTGCGTAATAAAACAATAACTACGAAATTGATCCGAAACGGTGTCTTTCTCCTGTCTATCGTCTGGGACTTCCATCGCAATTCATATTGATTCCTCAACTCGCTTTCAAGTCTACAATTTTTTGCTGAGCTTTTCCAGAATGTCCATCCTGCCGAGTACTGATGGTACCCATTAGAGCAATTCGCAGCTGCCGACGCGTTCGTCGACCAGCTTTGTCGTCCTGCGTCGACGCCGCATGCATTCAACCCTGCGCTCCGACGCTTGTACGATACGATTGCCCATCGCGCGATGGACCAAAGCACTCCTTTGGCGCCGTTACCTCCATTTGTTGAACGGAACAGATGTGATGTCCCCACTTTCAGTCGTTCAACGAATATCATTGCGACTTGCAACTTATCATGTAGGCATTTGTGGGAAGACCGATCGCTGATTGAACCAACTCTACCTGCCATTCAAGCTTTTGACAGGCCGTTTCACCTGAAAGAGGTGCAAAGCCAAGGATAATAAGAAGTCGTTTTGGAGCGATATCAAAGTCGACGCGAAAGTGACTGCAGCGAGAGGGACCGAAATATCTGCGATTCCCGCGGAGGCCAACGACGGCGGTGGTGATGACGATGGCAACTTGGACTTGGATGTAAGTGGAATGTTCAAGATAATTCAAATTTATGGCTGTGGAACAATGGGATTGCTGGGTGAAGACGTGACGGCGGTGGGGTCCATGAACTCTATTTCGGACTTTGAAGCACTTCTTTCCACCAAGCAGTTGGCCAAATCACAGGATCAATTCCAATCGTACATGTATTCATTCCTGTCATTCAATTTTCACATATCATGCAACTCGTTGGACCAACGCAAACTTACGGAGGTGTGTAAAGTAGCGGTTTTGGGTATGGAGCAGCAAATCTTGTGATATTAGAGAGATTCTGCAAACGTCCGTTCCCGCTCCCGTTCCGCTCCCAAAGCCATTTTTCTGACATGTTGGGCGCGAACAGAATTCAAAATCTATTTGTCCTGCAAGGTTCTGTTGCCGTTCAGCTCCGACAAGTCCGCATA